TGAGATCACTAGTGGCCTTCTCTCTGTGGGCTGCTGCTGCTTCTCTTCGGCTCAAGGGACAGTTTTAACAGCGAAGTCATTTTGCAACCAGGGGTCTGGGCAGAGTGCAGTTGAGGGTCCGTGGGAGCAAAAGAGGAGTGGAGAGGCTGTCAGAGGCGGGACAGACAGAGGAGTGGGTGGCGGGGAGCTAGGCACAGTGGGTCTGCAGAGGGGCTGGGCCTGGAGTGGATGGTGGGCAGGGAACTCACGGAGACAAGATGAAGGATTTGGAACAGGGGCTGTGGGAACAGAGGGAGTGGGCTTGGAGGTGGTCAGGTACCTATCAGAAATGTCTTCAAGGGATGCCTGGGTGACTCAGTGGTTGAGCATCGCCTTTGGCTCAGGTCATGATCCCGGGATCCTGGGATTGAGTCCTGCATTGGGCTCCCTGCATGGAACCTGCTTCTCCCTCTGCCCGTGTCTCTGCCTCTCTCTCTCTCTCTCTCTCTCTCTCTCTCTCTCTCTGTGTGTGTGTGTGTGTGTCTTTCATGAGTAAATAAATAAAATCTTAAAAAAAAAGTCTTCAAGATAAGGGAGGAAAATATCTGAATATTTTGGGGGCAAAAGAAGAAGCAACTGGTAGAGGATGAAGATGCTGAGTGGGGAGCGAGTGTGTCCTGAACAAGACACAAGAGCCAGGGACTTGAGAGGATGCTTACCCAGATGAGTGCCAAGTGATGCATATAATTAGGAGGAAGAAAGAGGCAAGACAGGAACTAAGAAAAACTCAGAGGAGTTAGTTTTTTATTCCTTGGAGGCTGAGGGGGAAGGGGCGGGAAGTATGTATGTACTTCTAAAGAGGTAAGCGGGCAGGGCAGGGCCTGTAATGGTAGGGGGCCCCCTCCGAATGCATGAGTCCCTCCCAAATTCATAGATAGCCCAAACCCCCATGTGATGACGTTTGGAGGTACGCCTTTGGGAAGTGGTCAGGTTTAGATGAGGTCAGGAGAGTGGGGCCCCCACGATGACTAGAGCCCTTAAAAGAAGAGGGGGACCCAGAGTGGGCTCGAAGTCTGCTGTGTGAGGACACGGAGCCAGGTGGCCATTGCAGGCCAGGAAGACTTTTTTTTTTTTTAAGATTTTATTTATTTATTCACGATAGACATAGAGAGAGAGAGAGAGGCAGAGACACAGGAGGAGGGAGAAACAGGCTCCATGCAGGGAGCCTGACGGGGGACTCGATCCCGGGACTCCAGGATCATGCCCTGGGCCAAAGGCAGGAGCTAAACCTCTGAGCCACCCAGGGATCCCCCCAGGAAGACGGTTCTTACCAGACACTGAACCTGATGGTGCCTTGGCCCTGGGCCCCGTGGCCTCCAGAGCTGTGAGCAATGATGTTTTGCCTTCATCCGCCCGGGCTGTGGTGTGTAGCTGTGCAGCCCCAGCTGACGTGGCAGGTGGTAGGATGGTGAGCCGTGGTGCTCACTCAGTCTGCGTCTGTTTGGGGACGTGGGTGACAGATATGTGGGGTCTTCTGCTGAAGTGAGGTGCATCCGAGGTTTGGAGCTTGAGGCAAGAGGTGATAGATGAATGGAGCAGGCAGGATGGAGGGGGAGGGTTAGGGTGCGGTAGATGGCAATTTTGTTTGCTTTTGTTTTGTTTTGTTTTAAGGATTCTATTTATTTATGCATGAGAGACACACACACACAGAGAGGCAGAGACACAGGCAAAGGGAGAAGCAGGCTCCATGCAGGGAGCCCAGTGGACTCGATCCCAGGACCCCAGGATCACGTCCTGAGCCAAAGGCAGCCGCTCAACCACTGGAGCCAGCCAGGCATCCTGGTAGATGGACATTTTGAATGGTTGGCTGGAACATATCGAGCAGTCATGTGTAGATGAATTCACTGCAAAACACAGCTCGTGGGCCGGTTTGCAGGGGCACAGAGGGCATTCCTGGGTTATTGTGGACTTGTCAGCCAAAGAAGCCTTTTGCCTTTTCCTCTTACGTGAGTGAGGCCTTCATGTTTTAGGACTAGAGAGAAAGCAGCAGCTTGGTGCCGGACAAATGGAACGAGCTTTGTTTTCTGTGGTCTCCCCAGACAGAGCAAGAGTGAGCCAGTCTAACTGGATTCATTCAGGAGAGGTGAGAAGGGGCAGGGGTCTTTCTAAGGGGAGCCAGGGGAGAGAGAATTTTCTAGACTGAAAGGAAGCACCTGCCTCCCTCTGACCCAGAGCAGCCCACTGGTGGTGGGAGGCCCTGGGGGCTCGCGCAGGCCCTCTTCCTTGGACAGCTGGGTTGGGGCAGGTCTCTGGAAAGTTCTTGCTAGACTCCTGGCTGGTCTCTTCCCGCCAGCACAGTCTCCTCAGAGGAGCTCTTGTGCAGCCCAGCCTCACTCCCCGAGCTGTCTGCAGCCTGGACCTTCCTCCTGCTCCCTCTGTCATGTGTCACGTTTGGGGGTGGATTGTACCCCACCCACCAGCAAGCACCTTAGCCCTTCCCATGTCCTGGGTATTGGTAGCGACAAAGGGCTCATTTCAATCTGCTCTCAAGTTTCTCAGGCACAAGGGGTATTGATTACCTTGCTGACCCAGCACAAGGTAATTCTGCTTTTCCCTCCACGTACGTCTCTTCTCAAAGGCTGACTCACGATGGCAGCTCTTCCTAGCTATTTCCAGAAACAGAGGGTATCGGATTTAAAATTTAAAATGTTCTGGGGATCCCTGGGTGGCTCAGCGGTTTAGCGCCTGCCTTTGGCCCAGGGCGCGATCCTGGAGACCCGGGATCGAGTCCCACGTCGGGCTCCCGGTGCATGGAGCCTGCTTCTCCCTCTGCCTGTGTCTCTGCCTCTCTCTCCCTCTCTCTCTCTCTCTCTGTGTGACTATCATGAATAAATAAAAATTAAAAAAATAAATAAATAAAATGTTCTAGTAACCATATTTTTTTAAAAAAAGGTGAAAGACAAACTGGTAAAATTAATTTTAATGCTATGTTTTATGCAACCCAGTGTGTCTCAAATATTGTCTTTTCAACATGTATCAGTTTAGAAATTATCAGAGATATTTTACTTTTTTTTCCCCTAGACTCGGTTTTTGAAATCCATGTGTATTTTACAGTTACAGCCTGTTTTCACTTGGGCTTCTCACATGCCCAGTGCTCAGTAGTCAGATGGAGGCAGGGACCACTGTCCTAGACGAGGGCCTGTGGGGACTTCCAGGCCCCCCTGTCCCATCCCCCCAACATCGTGCAGGGTAACTAGCCTTTCCTTGGGTCCCTCTGATTCTGGACTCTCTGTGGTTCTCTGATGCACATAGAGAGGCCTGGAAGGTTATGGAGGGGCTAAATCTATGAATACTTAACAAATCATATGTTTTTTTGTCCTTGCCTCATTAACTATCGGTTCTTTTTTCTTGTTTAATTTTATTTGTTTATTTGAGTGAGAGAGAGAGAAAGCATGAGCAAGGGAAGGAGCAGACTCCCTGATGAGCAGGAAGCCTGTCGCAGGCTCGATCTCAGGACCTCAGGATCATTACCTAAGCAGAAGGCAGATGCTTTACCGCCTGAGCCACCCAGGCTCCCCTATCAGTTCCAATGCATACAGCAGGAGTCCGATGCTACAATGATATATTTACCACATTGGTGTTAGCCAGATTCATGGGACACCTTTAGGGGACTTCTTGAAAGTCTAGGCTTATAGAATGCTTCAGTGTCTATAGTCACAGCATCACCTTCAGGTCCTACCTTCATGAGGGATGTGGGCATGAGAATCCATGCATGAGTGTTGGGACTGAGCTGCTTGGGTGGGTATGAAATAAGAAGACCTTACATGTTTAGCTGGCCCTCGTTTAGTCTGAAGGAAAACCAATAAGTGAAAATTAATCCCGTCTCCCACAGTTACTGATTTTCAGTTTTCCTCTCACTACTCATTCTGCAACCTCTTTAAGTGATGAACCTAGACATTCTTGTTTAACATGTTTTCTCAGTAAAATAGGGAGTAAATATCATACCACTGATACCATCCAGAATGGTTAAGAAATGAAATATTCTAGTTAAGTATTTGTGAAATTAAGTTCACACTCAAATACTACAACTGTAATAATTTTAAGTGGAAATATATTTTAAAAATATTTTATTTATTCATGAGACACACACACAGAGGTGGAGACATAGGCAGAAGGAGAAGCAGGCTCCTTGTGGGGGGCCTGATGTGGGACTCGATCCCAGGACCCCGGGATCATGACCTGAGCCAAAGGCAGGCGCTCCACTACTAAGCCACCCAGGTGCTCCTTGGTGGAGATATTTAATAATCTATTACAAATCCTCTGTCTTAGCATCTAGAGAATACGGACTATAATTCATACTTAGGTTATTTGCTAAATTGAATTACGATATTATGGGAGGGTAGGGGAGTCATTAATATTTATGGAGTGGCTACTCTGCCAAGAGCTGTGCTTTTATATTATGATATTCATATTATTTTATGCTGAGGGTGTTCCCAGCCCCATTCTAAGTATTTGAAGGAAGAGGTTATATGTTACGCCCCAGCTAGGCTTATGCACTCAGAGACTGGCCTGCCCTGCCTAGCACAGTGCAGGGCAATCTGACACCAGAGCCCTGCTACTAAGTACTCTGCACTAATGTGAACTTCTGCACAAACCTCTGGGGGAGACATTATTGTTCTGCCCCAGACAGTGAGGTGCAAAACAGTTAACGAATTCAAAATCAGCTAGTAAGTGGCCAGCATTTCTTTTTCTTCCTCTCCCCTCCTTTTCATTTTCTAGAACTTGTGGATTTTGGCTCAGGCAGGGCTTGAGTTTGTAAATCAGTGCAAACACTGTTTCGTCTTCCTTTGGTTCACTTGTCTGCCTTTTTCTTTCCCAGGAAATATCTTCTCTCCTCCATGAGGCAGTACTGATTGACTTCATTTGCTGTGCTACGTCCACCCTTGAAGTGGTTTAGAGAAACAACGGCGCTTGCTTTTCAAAGTTTATATTCTGAAACTATTGACTATTTTTTCCTGCAGAGAGATCGGAACAATTATCAGGTCACTAGGGTGCTGCCCAAGTGAAGGAGAGCTGCATGACCTGATCTTAGAGGTAAGCAAGGCTGCATGGGCTGGGCTCCCTGCTATGCCCATTCCTTGTACTTGAACACCTTTACCTGCAGCTAAGCATGTCCTAAACTAATGTCCTAAACTAATAATGGGTGCACTTGATGAAGACATTTGGGCAACTGTGTGGATTGGCCAGCCAGCAGTTCTGAAACAATATCAGATCTGGAAGAAATGGCTTTGACCAAGTAACCCAATGGCTCAAGTAAGGAGCCCACCTTAGATATTATTTATATTCTAAAATTAGTTGAAGAGGGGCACCTGGGTGGCTCAGTCGGTTGAGTGTCAGACACTTGATTTCAGCTCAGGTCATGATCCAAGGGTCATGAGATCGAGCCCCGCATAAGGCTCCCCACTCAGTGGGGAGTCTGCTTCTCCCTCTCCCCCTATTCGTTCCCCACTCATAAATAAAACAAATACAATCTTTTTTTTAAAGCTTATATTCATTTGAGAGAGAGAGTGAACCAGAGAGAGAGAGAGAGATCAAGCATGATCAGGGGCAGGGAGAGGGAGAAATAAACTCCCCACTGATTAGGGAGCTTGATTCAGGACTCTATCCCAGGACCCTGAGATCATGACCCAAGCAGAAGGCAGACCCTTAACTGACTGAGCCACCCAGGTGCCCCTAAATAAATAAAGTCTTAAAAAAATAAAATTAGTTGAAGAAAGCAGATACTTGGGACCAACTATGTGTGGAAAGAACATGGCAGATGAAAGGAATTGTGGTGAAGAATTTCAGTTCAGAGGAGATAGAAATGGAGGGGGACTGTAAGAAATTTATATTTTTTTGGGGGAAAAACCCTAACTTTCAGAATAAGTAGTAAACATAACAAAATAATAAGAACCAACTTGACACTGACTGAACAGTCTAAGAATTTTAAAAATGGTTATTTGTAATAGCGTCGATGAGTCTCTGGAGGGAATAATCTTGTAAAGCAGTAATGAATGGCCCAAGATCAGAGAGCTTTCTGCCCTGTTAGGTTTCCCAGAAAAGTGTCTGGTCTAACTAACCTCAGATGTAGCTTTCAGTTTAACAAAGCAGAGGCCTGAAGGGAGCGAAGCTACCTGGGCCACCACCAGGAGAAGAATCTGTTCAGAGCTGCTTCTCCATGTGGGTTTTGGTGGAGGCCAGAATCAAGCAGGAGATGAGGGGAGGCAGGCAAGGAAGTGGGATTTTGTTGATTTATGGGCCTAGCCCAGCACTGACTCGGTGAGTCACTTGACCTCTGTGTTCATTTCTCTGTGATGATACCTACTTCAAAGCTAAATGCAATCATGTATTAGAAGACATGTTTTGAATCCTAAAGCACTCTATACAGTTAAGGAGTGGAAGATTAGAAAGACAACTCTGTTGCCTGCTATTAGCATTGTGGCAACTAAAAAAGCAGTACCGATTTTTCATTAACATTTAAAAATATTCAGTAAAAAAAAAAATTCAGTAAAGCTCAAAATCTTTACATTGTTTTTTTCCATTTTGAGACCCAATAAAACTATTTTTACTCAGAGGGGAAAAAAAATCTTTTTTTTCCTGAGTTGGTCCTCACATTCTTAAAAAAAAGGTGTTGATCGCTGCTTGACAGTGTTTATCGACAAAGCTCGAATTTGTGCTAGGGAAAGAGGAAAGTTGGCGCTGTGGAACAGATAAGAAATGGAAGATGAATTTATAGTGAACTCATAATTATTGCATATAATTCAGTAGAGTAAATGGAGCAGGTTTGAATCAGCAAACCACAATCCCTGGGCCAAATCCAGCCCACCACCTATTTTTACAAATAAAGTTTTATTTGAACAAAGCTCAATTCATTTATTTACATATTGTCTTTGGCTGTTTTCTCACTACAAGAGTGAGCTGAATCCTTGTGACAGAGACCATATGGTTTGCAAAGCTTAAAATATCTACTGTCTGGTCCTTTGCAGAAAAAGTTTGCCAACTCTTGATCTGTAAGCTTCTCTGGCAAAGTAGAATAAACACCACATCTTGTGTCAGGAGGTCTATGTTCAAATCCCATAGCTACCACTTACGGCTTTGTCTTTCAAAGTCGGTTCCACATCCACAAAAGGAATGCAAATAGCATAGTGTCTTTATGAGGATTAAATCTGGTAACTATGAGGAATCAGGTGTTGCTTGATGGGCACTCTGTGCATATATGGGGTTGCTTGTTCTGTAGGTACCTGTCTACTGAAGTTACCCCATGGGTCTGGGCAGTTAATCACAGTAGATGCTCAGGGCCCTGCATTTTATTTTGTCATTGTCCCTTTCTTAGATATATTGACACAACCTTTGAAAGTTACAAATGGTTAGAACAGCTGGACCAGGACGGATGACTGTTGTCTAAGCCCTGTATGTGCTTTTCTGTCTTTGTGCACAATTTATTCAAATTAAATTATAGTGATATACTTCAGAAGTTTTGGGTGTGACTGTCCTTTTTTGAGGTTTCCCAAATAAGTGAGAGAGAAAAAACACGTAGATATTTGTTGGTATCAAATACATTTAGAAAACCAGAGCTCCAAATAGTAAAGCTCTAGGAGTGAATCCCTTATTGCTAAGTGCTCTGTAATATTTTCAGAAATGAAAACTATTTCTACTTCTTTTGCTTTAAAATGCAATAATGTAAAAAAATAAATAAAATGCAATAATGTGATGATGCTCTAAACTTCTGTAAAACATCAAAACCTATGTGCAGTTCTCTAGTTGGCATTTACTTAAATTATAGTCTAAGTACATACTCTCAGCCCCTTGTTTCCTAAAGAGCAGTATAGTGTGATGTTTCTCTTAAAACAGATCATTTAAAAATCACTTGGCATTGATCCCTCTATTTCATATTCTTCAGTTACCAACTGGCCCCAAGTAATCTCAGCCCATTTGGAATATCACAAAACTCAGCAACAGCGAGAAGGCTTAATACCCAAATTTTATTGGCATACAGGTTACCAAACAATTCTTCTTCCTTTACTATGAAGTTACAACCTTCCAGGATCTTCCATGTGGGAACTAGGAGGATGGGACAATATCTCAGTACCAGTGGGAAGGGCATGTAGAGGTTTACAGCCTTTGAAGTTCAAACCTAAGTGGAATTGTGGAGAATTTAAAGTAATTAGAAAGGAGAACTAAAAGACATTTGCAAAATAAGACCTATGTTGGTAAGATTATGACATTATACAGTGATTTTTTTTAAAAGGTCATTCATCAGGAAGGTATAAAAATCATAAATGTCCATGTAGCTAATAACAGAGCTGCAATATCCATGAGGCAAAAATGGACAGAGAGAGGGATAGACAGACAATTCCACAATCATAGAAGGAGCTTTTAAAAACCCTCTCTAAATAATTGATAGAGTATCTACATAAAATATCAGCAAAGATGTAGATGATAACCATCAATCACCCCAGCCTAATTGATATTTATAGGACACTACACCCACAAAATGCAAAATACATGTTCTTTCCAAGTGTATGGAATGCTCAATAGGATAGATTAAGTGCTGGGCCATAAAACAAGTCTCAGTAAATCTTTAAAAATTGAAATCATATAGGATATTTTCTCTGATTTTAAAAATGAAATGAAGAGAGGGCATCCTGGGTGGCCCAGCGGTTTAGTGCCGCCTTCAGCCCAGGGCGTGATCCTGGAGACCTGGGATCGAGTCCCACGTCGGGCTCCCTGCATGGAGCCTGCTTGTCCTGCCTGTGTCTCTGCTTTCTCTCTCTCTCTGTGTCTCTAATGAATGAATGAATGAATGAATGAATAAATAAATAAATAAATAAAAACTTAAAAAAAAATGGAATGAAGAGGCACCTGGGTGACTCAGTCACTTAAGTGACTTACTTGATTTGGCGCAGGTCCTGATCTCAGGGTTGTGAGATCGAGCCCCACATCAGGATCTGTGCTCAGTGTGGAGCCTGCTTAAGATGCTCTCTCTCTCCCTCCCTCTGTCTCTCCCTACTGCTCCTGCTCGCTCTCTCTAAAAAAAAATAAATAAATATGAAATAAGTCAGAGACCAATAGAGAATAAGATAACTAGGAAATCTTCAAATATTTGAAATTAAGAAAAAAAAATTGAAATTAAGCAACATACTTTCCAATAATTCACAAATCAAAGAAGAAATCACAAGAGGAATTTTGTGTATCACAAGAGTATTTTGTGAACGTTAATGAAAATACAACATATCAAAATAAAATGCACTTAAATAAATATAAATGCATTTTATAATGTGGAATAAAAAAGGATTCATATTAATAAAGATAAACAAAAAAAATAAAGATAAACAACTTGATCATAAAAGAAAATACAATATATCAAGCTTGTGGGATACAGGTAAGCAGTGCTTAGAGACCAGCTTATAACTTTAAATGATTATACCAGAAAAGAAAAAAAGGCCTAAAATTAATTATCAAAATTCTCATTGTAACAAACTGGAAAAAGAAGAGGAACATAAACTCAATATAAATGAAAGAAAGACAATTATGAACAGCAGAAATCAGTGAAATAGAAAATGGACAGAGAAAAATCACTGATAGCAAAATACTAGTCTTTTCAAATAAAATTGATAAACTTCTAACTAAGATGATCAAGACAAATTACCTACATCAAAATTAAAGGAGGGTTTATCATTATCTTTCAGACATTTTAAAAGGATAAGAAAGGAACAACTTTATGCTAATAAACCTGGCAACTTAGATAAAACGGACAAATTCCCCAAGACACACAAATTACCAAAACTGACCCAAAAAACCTAGAGAATTAGAATAGCCCCATATCAATTATAAAAACTAAATTTATAATTAAAAACTTTCCCATAAAGAAAATTAGAAGTTCAGATGGCTTTGCTAGTGCATTCTCTCAGACATTTCTGGAAGAACTAGTACCCATTCTACACAAAACTCTTTTTGAAAACATTACAGGAGGTAACACCTTCCAGGCTAGCATTACTCTGATGTTCAAGCCTGACAATCCTATTACAAAAAAGAATAGATCTTATTAACAAAGA